CATACTCGACATAATTTTATCAAATATATGATATCATAAATTATAAAAAAAAAAGATTATAAAAATGGATTGAGAATAGGAATGTTCTATATATATGCTTTTTTGTGGCATTATGCCTCTAATAGCTGTGGGGGGGGGGGGGGGGGGGTCTAGGAAAGCTTCATTCCTAAGAAAATAGGATGGCAGAGAATGAAAGAACATAGCTTTAGGAAATTTGATTGAATTCCAAATTTAAATTCCAACCTTCAACATTCAACAAAAAAACTTTTTCCAGTTACCCATGAAGATTTGATTGTGTCCTTAGATACTGCATATTTTAAAAGATAATCCACAAAATGATATCATCTTTTAACATTCTTGGGATAATCATTCTCATAAAGTGCATATATTGACCCCCTTTAGATGGGTAATAATTTTCCTAATACAAAGTTTTTTAGATGATTTCAATTTAAAATTAATATTTACCATTTGAGTATCCTCGTAATAAAATAAAGGGAAAATGACATTTTTTTCCCCTGAGTTATATACTTATAGCACTTTTTCCCTCTAAATTATTTAAGTGGTTTTTTTCTCCCCTAAAATGTTAAATGGACATATTTACCCTTAAAATAAATATTTAAAATAAATATTTCATTTATTTTTCTTCTCCAATAAATTATTACTATAATTTGGTTCAAACCAAACAGATACGATAGTAACCAAATCAAAATATTCCAATTACAATTTAGAACCAGAACGCGATATTTAGAGTTTATTAAAATCGCAAATCGAAATGGCCGGTTCATGTTCCGAACTGAAAAAATAAAATATATTTATTGTTGAATTTAAACTATTTTAAAATAAAAATAAAATAAAATTTAAAATAAAGACGGTTCAAAATCGCGAACCGGATCCGGAACTGCCGGTTCACGGTTCATGATCCAGTTTTTTTGGTTCATAAATTTAATAAATTGAAATCTAAATATTGGATTCTAGATCTGAATCATAACCGGAAATTTTTAATTCGATTGCTATAGTGTCCGGTTCAGTTCGAATCGAACCGTGGTCATTGCTACATATACACAATAATTTGTTGGAGAAGTAAAATAAATAAAATGTTTATTTTAAGGGTAGAAATGTCAATTTAATATATCAGGTGGAAAAACCACCACTTTTAAAATAATTGAGGGGGCTAATATGCTTACATAAATAATTGAGGGGGAAAAAGTACTATAAGTATATAACTTAGGGGAAAAAGTGCCATTTTCCCTAAAATAAAACATTCGATTAAAATTTACATATCCCTCTCAAATTTTACAAAAGCCATATATCTTCTTAAATTACTCTATTTTCTCCTCCTGAATATTCACTTCTTGACATGCATGACAATAAAGTCATTTTGTTCATTGGACGCCAATTCATTTAGAAAATCTGTATAACGTTATTATATTTTTCGGTTTGTGTAAGATTTTTTTTAAAAAAGTAATTAATACTGCCCTTATTTCAATGTAGTATCTGTCTATATATATACTTTCTTAATCAATATCCATTAAGAGAGTCACAGAGGTATCATTGAGCTACAAGCTACATGATGCTTGTGTAAGACTCTTGTATCATTTAATTTTGAGTAAGCCCTGTGCTGGCAAATACTATACCAATTGGGCAAAAATGGTGCTTTTATACAGGCGAAATTAGTGGTTCCCCATATCTGCTTGCCTAACAATTGGGTGGCAACAAATTAATCCAAAGAAAAGGATCCAAATTGATGGGACTTAGATGAAATGATATATGTCTCTTCCTATTTAATAGAGGTCTGAGTTTTGAGTATGAAGAATACAATTAGTCAATTACTTTGAATGACACTTTTGTCACATTTTAAGGTCTTATTCAATTCGATTTCAACATGATTAATTTTGACGCGAAGAATCTTATTATATTTTACTTAAAAAATCTGTATCATAAAAAAAAAAAAAAAAAAAAAAAAAAAAAAAAAAAAAGAGAGCAATGGATCAAAAAATTTCATTGGCAAAATGAAATTTCACCTTCCTTGTGTATATATATTTCCACTTCTAATATACACTTAAATTCATGTGTCAAATATCCAAGTTTAGTATATGACGGAGAGAATGGAAGAAAAAAAAATTGAAATAGCATTTTTTTGCGGGAGCATCCCATTTTTTTTGTCACCTCTTCTCTCTTTCATCCTCATCACTCATGACCCCACAAAAAATCTCGTTATAAATTATTGATGGTACGGTGATGCTTTTAGATGGTAAACTTAAATAAATAAATATATAAAATAGACAAAAATAATGTGGGTTAAGGATAACCTAGCCGACACAACTTGAGATAGTTCGAGATTTTAACCCACATTATCATCTCTACTTAAATTTTTATAATTATTACGTTGATACATAATTAGCAAAAATATTAAGGAACTAATTTGATAATTCTAAATCCTATTTCGTGAAGTCCAAATTCTTCTAAAAGGTTGAACCCCAACCCTAAAGTCCAAATTGTTATAGGCAAAAGAGGTGAAAATAATATAGAAAAATTAACATTTTTATTTTTATTTTTATTTTTCTGAATCAAAAGGAGGGAAAACCCCAACTAGCTAGCTATATTGACAACACATTGCCGCAACACACCTATAGGCTATAGAGTCGTCAAGAAGCAAACCCAGAATCGCAGTATCCAGTTGAGACATCATACTTAAGCCCCGAGGGCTACCAAGAATTAACATTTTTATAATTCTTGAATTGTACACAATTAATTCTAATTTTGATTCTTAATTGTTCATTCACTTTTATCGCAAATTATGCTGTGTAACTGTATGGTGCACACGGTTGCAAAAACGACGTCGTTGACTAAAAACGCGCATCCCATTTAAAAGAATAAAATTCATGTTCGATTCCCGGCAATAGCATTTTTTGTGCATAATTTGAATTATATATCCACAATGAATGAACTAAATATCCACAATGAATGAATAACTAAAAATCCAGAATGAATGAACTAAATATCCACAATAAATGAACTAAATATTCACATTGAATGAATAACTAAAAATCCATAATGAATGAACTAAATATTCATAATGAATGAACTAAATATCCACAATGAATGAACTAAGAATCCAGAATGAATGAACAACATAATGCTGTTGAGGAGAATCGAAATTGATTTTTTTTTTTTTTAAATAGGACACGCATTTTTAGTCAAAACGATATCGTTTTGCAATTGTATCCACCATACATGGTGCACACGGTTGCACAGCATAACTATTGCACTTTTATAAAGACAAATGTTCTGTCACAAGTCCGCAAAATACTTCTGATATTGGGCTTTAGGCCCAAACATACTTGGCCCAATAAATGCCATTAAAATTACGTCAAATTTTAATGTGGACTATGGTCCATATAGTAATTTGGTCAATAAAGTAATAGTTAATTTCATCAGAGGTCTATTGTTTTTGGTAAAAATTTTAAATTTAATCTTAGATTATTGTTTTTGCCATTTAACATCCTAGACTATTAATTTTTGGACAGTTTTAGTCTTTTTCATGATTTTTCATATTTTTAGTAAAGGTATTGTTGTCATTTCATATTTTTCTTTTGTTATTTTTCCAGTTTCAACCAGTTTAATTGGTTTAGAACTTAGGTAACCTCTGATTTTTAGTAATCATATTTTTCGACCGATTTTTAGTAAAATTCTAAACCAATTAAACCGGTTGAACATCTAATTTTAAATTAATTAAATGCATATATATTATTAATTAAATACAAAAATATTAAAGTTATAATACGAAATATATTATATTTATTTAGTTAATTTTAAATTTTTTCTTTTTAAAATGCAAGAAAATCAAATGATTTTCAAAGTTCATGATTTATAATCTTTTATGCTCAACTTTGAATGCTACGTATTTAGTCGGGCTAATTATTTGACCAAAATTTATGTTAAATTTTATATTATATTTTTTTAAATACATTTTAACATATTCATAGTATATGTTTAACAATTATGCCAACCCTAATTGAGATGAGGTTCAATCAAAATAATATGAACCATTCATTTTAAGATACAATTATACCAACATTTTTTTTATAAGGACCTAACATTATTGGCTTTTATTAGACTAGTAATTCACCCGCGCGATGCACAAAAAAAAATTACGGTATTATAAATATAAAAAAAATAGAAAAAATAAATATTTTAAAATTATTTAATATAATAATATTTTTGAGCTTCCATTGATCAAGTATTTATTATTTTTATAGAATACAAAATTACAATTAAAATTAAAATTAAAATTAAAATTTTGTATATGGTTAATATAATCTCTAATTATGTGCATATTCAAATAAACTTATAGAGATAATTTACATAATTACATTGATTTATTCTTAATTGTATTTCATCTATATTATAATTTTCACAATACAAATAATAACTAAGATAATTACATTTGGAAAGCAAATTTCAAATTTTGTGTGTAAATTTAAACTCTAATTGAACACATTTTTTATATGATTATATAATATATAGCTATTTTATTTTTCAAAAGTATATTTTTATATGATTATATAATATATAGCTATTTTATTTTTTAAATGTTTTTTTTTTATAATAAAGGATGTTGTGGCATTAATTGTAACATTAATTATTTCCCAAACCATATAGCTTTATTATATAAAGAATTTGTACTTTTGTAGATATGTTATTGCATAGTTCTGGATTTTAGTTTCATTTTTCATACACACTAGTTTTATTTTAATAATATTAAATTATCATTTTAATTATACTACAGTTTCATGAATTTCATTCAAAAATATATACTGTGGGAATCAAACCCCTACAAAAAGAGCTCATTTGCCACTTGAGCTACCCTATTGGGTTATTCTGGTCCATCTCTTGTTGTGCATGAATAGTAGATAAATTAGTGCAGAGATTTGGTTATTGTACTTCAACCCCCAGAAGTTTCCAATAATTTCAAATAAATCCCAAAGAGTCCTGACATCCCTATAGGCTATAGTCTCATACCGGAAGTGAAACCCTAGCCTTCGATCGTGTATGACTCTCTTTTCTCTCGCTCGGATCTCAAATTGAACCGTATAAGTAACTTTTCTTCCGATCTTCGCTTCTCAAGGAACCGTCGCGGTGTTCATACTTTGTGGTTTAGAAGCCTAATCCAGTTCCCAAGTCGCGTAAGTCCCCTGTTCGTCTGCTCTGGCGGCCAATTTTTCAATATCTCGTTGTCATTAGCTTTCGTTAAAATTTTTTGCTTTTGCATATTTTGAATTTTCGATGTCCTTTGCTATTTCCTTAATATTTTGGGAATGAATTGTGTGTATATCTCGCTGTATACTTGGAAATTTCGAGATACTGTAATTAATCCATTTATTTAAGAGAAGAAAACTTGTAGGATTTGAGATTCCCAGTTGTGTTTCAGTAAGTGGTATGCTCTCTAGTAGTCTAGTCTCAGCATAGGTATACTTTACTCTAGAGTACTCGACCACTCAATCTCATTCAACACTATCAATGGGATCCTTAAAGCTTCGAAATTTATATGAGAATTTCTATGTTCCATGTGCATAAGGTGTTGTGATATCAGTGTGGTGTTGTGTTTCCTACTCTGTGATAAAGCGGTGTATGCTATTGTTCCTTAATGTTTGGCTAGCCAAACTTGCTTTCTTCGTATTTATTTTGGTGTCTACCTGCTGCTTTGGTTTCCATTAATCTTATTTTCTGACTTTATCTGTTCGTGGGCATACTAACTTGGACACAATATAATAACATAAAGCAAAGTGTGCAGCCATGATGATTGGATTGGCAATGGCATCCTGGTCTTGATGAAATAGATAAATAAAAGAGTTGCTCAAAAGCATCAGATCAGCAATAATATTGACCGCCTTGCCTAATAGAATTTATTTACTTCTTTGACATTGTCTTAGCAGGGGCTTGAGTTTAACCCGTCTTAGAATTTTCAGGACAAAGAGGGAATTAGGGAAAAGTTTATGGGATTTTCGTTCTCCAAACCCGTTGTTTAATTTTTATTTATTTAGTTTTATTTGTTGGGATATTGGATCTAATGCCATTTGGTTGTCTAGATTGAACTTTTGAGCTTGGATCCACCTTGGATTGAATACTGTTCAATGCTATTCTCTAATTGGATTGTTTGTGGCATTTCACTGTATTTTATATCCTTTTAAGCAATTAAGCATCAAAGGTTACTTTGTACAAATTTGAGTGGATGCCCTGCATGTCCTATTATAAGATCTTAGGTTGATTCCATATGTTTGTGTGTGTGTGCGCGCATGCACATGCATGTGTCTTATGTCATCTTTCTCTAGATATAGAATATGGGTAAAGGGTTCTTTTGGGTGTAACTTTCAGTACATTACTTGTATAGTGGAGCAGTTATGCTTTCTAAGAAACATCTATTCTCCAATTTAATGATTATATTCTTATTTCGTCCAATGCCACCTTTGCTGGCCTCTAGTTTCATTAGTTTGGTGTAGACAGCAGCTCTGACAAAGGTGTTACTGTTCTTTTCAGTGAGTCTAACATTCTCTTGACTCTGCAGGACTTAAATTGAAAAGCTTTGACCATGTCTCATCTCCCAGCAACAACAAGTTCACTCAGTGAAGCTTCTGAGGCCAAAACTCCATCTGAGGCTATTGCCATTCTTTACCGCATCCTTAATGACCCTGCATCTTCTTCTGAGGCTTTAAGGATCAAAGAGCAAGCAATCTCTAATCTCTCTGACCTGCTGAGACAAGAGAATCGGGCAGAGGAACTTAAAAACCTTCTGACCCAATTGCGGCCTTTCTTTTCTTTGATCCCCAAGGCAAAGACAGCTAAAATCGTTCGAGTAATTGTTGATGCAGTGGCAAAAATTCCAGGTACGTCTGACCTTCAGATTTCCCTTTGCAAAGATATAGTGCAGTGGACCCGTGCTGAGAAGAGAACTTTCCTTCGCCAACGAATTGAGGCAAGACTTGCTGCTCTTTTGATGGAAAACAAGGAGTATTCTGAGGCGTTGACACTCCTTACTGGCCTCATCAAGGAGGTGAGAAGATTGGATGACAAGCTGCTTCTTGTGGAGATTGACTTACTAGAGAGCAAGCTTCATTTTTCATTGAGAAACCTTCCTAAAGCCAAGGCTGCATTGACAGCTGCCCGAACAGCAGCCAATGCTATATACGTGCCTCCAGGTCAGCAGGGCTCTATTGATCTGCAGAGTGGTATCCTTCATGCAGAAGAGAAGGATTATAAAACTGCTTACAGCTATTTCTATGAAGCATTTGAAGCATTCAATGCCCTCGAAGATCCCCAGGCCATATACAGCCTCAAGTACATGTTGCTTTGCAAGATCATGGTGAGCCAGGCTGATGATGTTGCAAGCATTATATCATCACCCAAGGTGGGATTACAATATCAAGGCCCCGAACTTGATGCTATGAAGGCTGTTGCTGATGCTCACTCAAAACGCTCTTTGAAGCTCTTTGAGGTTGCTCTTCGAAATTTCAAGGCCCAGCTAGATGAGGATCAGATTGTCCACCGGCATCTTTCTTCCCTCTATGACACTTTGATGGAGCAAAATCTTTGCAGGTTGATTGAGCCTTTCTCCCGGGTTGAAATTGCTCACATTGCTGAGTTGATTGAGTTGCCTGCTGACCATGTTGAAAAGAAGTTATCTCAGATGATTTTGGATAAGAAGTTTGCTGGAACTCTCGACCAAGGTGCTGGGTGCCTCGTGATTTTTGACGATCCAAAGACAGATGTCATATATCCTGCGACATTGGAAACCATTTCAAATATGGGGAAGGTTGTTGACAGTTTGTTTGTAAGATCTGCCAAAATAATGGCTTGAGTTCTAGATTGCAAGCTTTTTTGAGCTTGCTTGTTTACTGTCTAAATTGACCCCAACTAGAACAGAGGTGTATTTCAAATTAATGGTTGTTTTGAAGGGGTTTCCTACTTTCCTTACCCTTAGGACAAGGATGTGGGGCATTGAAGTCATGAAGATGTTCTTAGTTCAACCTTAATCAAGTTTTAAAGTACAATATTGTTTTCTTAATCTTTTTTTTTTTTCTTTGGCCAGACCATTAGGTGTCTTGAGTACTGAGGAGGTCCTAACTGTAGGAGGCACCTTTAAGCTCGTATCATTCTCAGACTAATCTTCATGTGCAGCGGGCTGGCCCAATTAAGGGGCATAGTATTGGCCAAATTGGTTTTAAAGTAGAATATTGTTTTGTTAATCATTTTTAGTCACATTTAGTTCCTAGTTTGACTATTGTTGAATTCTAAATGGTTCAAGCTCAATATCTCTTAAACATCTACTAATGCCTAACTACATCCACTTTGCAATGCATTCTATGTATACCTTATAGTTTAATAGTCATTTAAATTGTTTATCCCAAATGGTTAACAAAGTGACACTTTTGACCAATTTATTAACGATGTCAAATTTTACAATTTACTTTCAATTATAACTTCAAGATTTAGTGGCCATAAAATGAAAAAATGTTCTCATTACATTAGATGAAACTCTCACACTGAGACGTGAGATTGGATATTTCATATACCATCTTAATAGTCGATGCAGACTTTTGTTTATTTTCCATGTACCAAAAGTTACTGATAACCTACCCTTTTGGCTTGATTTTTGAGGGTATAACGGTAAATTCATGCACTGCATAGTATTTGACTAAAGGCGAAAAAAGAAAGACAAAACCCTAAAGCTGTAATTCTCTCTCTCTCTCTCTCTCACTAACTTATCAGAGTCTCAGGATTAACGTTTCTAGCACCAAGTTGTGGACGATGACCCCACTCGCCTCGAGATCCTAGTGAAGAAGCTCAGGAACTGTCCCTATACAAGGTATCAAATCTCTTACCCGTACCCGTATGTCTATATTGATCAATTCGTGAAGTTGGTTTTGGAGTGTCTCATTGTCTGGAATCGATTGCATCTGTCGCTATTAAGTGATTGAAGTGAATAGTTAGTGTCGCTTAGAGTTGTTTATTGAGATTTGAACGCTCAGAGTTGTGTTGATTAACTGAATGAGCAGCGGAAATCCTGGAAATTTTAAGTGCATTATGATATTTCAAGATCAATCTGTGTTTTTGGTAAGATCTGGTGGTAATTATGTTGTGCATTTCAAATTTTAGCTAATTGTACTTTAATTACCCAATCGTGAGTGTTAGGAAGTTGTTATATATTCTTAGAGCTAGGAAACTTTAATCTCTCAATACTTGCAGAAATGGATTGAACTGTTTTTGCAGTTCTATTGTAGGGTTTGTAAGTGAGTTAAGAATTCTTTTATTTATTTATTTATTTATTTTATATATAGAACAAATGTGAATTTGATTAGACATTTCATTAAGGCTTAATTAATTAATACACAGAATGAATTGCACTTTTCAGCAAACAATGAATTTTGGTTCTTGGAGTTGGGACATTCATTGGTTTGGCTTTGAAATATGAAATCTCTTAACTTATCTTCTTTTTTTCTGTGATTTTATCCATAACTTTTTATTCTAATATCAATTTGAGCTTAGTTTAGTGCAGTATTTCTTGAATATTTGGGCTGTATCAGGAATTTTCCATGGATAACACTGTTCTTAGAGCCAACTGTTTATGGACACTTTCATGTTTTCTGCTATTTCACAATGATGATAATGAACCATTTACTTATACTAGTGTGTTTTCTAGAGCAAGGGGGCGATGCTTTGATTCACTTTCAGTGCTCTATCTGTTAAATTGTCCTTGGCACTCTTTGAAGTCTTTTGGTACGGTGCCACTTGTTTCAAAATGGGGCGATTAAGACTACAATCTAACATCAAATCAATTGAAGAGGAACCAGAAGATTGTGAGGCTACCTCCTCTAGTAAAAATGCTTTAGCATGCATGATAAATTCAGAGGTAAGTGCTGTGTTGGCAGTGATGAGAAGGAATATGAGGTGGGGTGGTCGATTTGTGTCAGGGGATGACCAGCTAGAACACTCCTTAATCCAGTCCCTGAAGACACTGCGAAAGCAGATATTTTCATGGCAACATCAATGGCAAACTATTAACCCAGCATTGTATCTTCAACCATTTCTAGAAGTTATTCGATCTGATGAAACTGGGGCACCAATCACTGGTGTTGCCTTGTCATCTGTCTACAACATTTTGACTCTTGATGTAATTGATCTGAACACCACCAATGTTGAAGATGCTATGCACTTGGTTGTCGATGCTGTGACTAGCTGCAGATTTGAGGTTACTGATCCTGCATCAGAAGAAGTTGTACTCATGAAAATACTTCAAGTCCTTTTGGCTTGCATGAGAAGCAAAGTCTCAGTTGTCTTGAGTAATCAACATGTTTGCACCATTGTCAATACCTGCTTTCGAGTAGTTCATCAAGCTGGAACGAAAGGTGAGCTCTTGCAACGGATAGCACGGCACACCATGCATGAACTTGTGAGGTGTATCTTCTCTCACCTTCCAGAAGTTGACAACACGCAATGCTCATTAGTTAAACGGGGCAGTTCTACAAAACATGAGGTACAGAGAATTTTTGATTCTTGTTCTCTATTTTGAAGTTTTGATTTCCTGGAATTTCCTTCATTTTTGTTTTTTTTTTTTTTTTGGTGTGTGTGTGTGGAGGAAACAACAGGTGCCAAGTAAAAATTGCCAAATTGACCCTCTATCCTTGTGGCAAGGCAATGAGTGGTAAATAAAGAGTTTACGAAGGAAATAACTCAATGGCTTTTGAATAGTTTCTAGGATTACCTTGGTACACTGAACAAAATGATTAGAGAGGAAGCATTACTTGTACAAATATTGTGAAGTTCCTTTTAAAATGACCCAATTTCCTGCGCAGCAACTCTTGCTCTTTTTCCTTTTTTTTGAGGGGTGATGGGATCTGAAATTGAAGTTAGTGCTAGCAAGACATTCAAATTTGATGCAAGAATGTCAAAGAATGTGAGTCCACAGTAGCAAACTGCAAACCTATGTGGTTGATAGGCTGACACACTTTTAATGATGTGGATGGAGATTTGAGTGCATAATCTGTGAATTGATCTTCCTTTACTTGTTACTGAGTATTTCTTTTGTTTTTATGTTTTGTTGTTCTTCTACTGTAGGTTTCTGGCCTAGATGGTGATTACGGTTTCAGTAGTAAGTCAGAGAATGGTACAGGTTCTTCTGAATATGATAGCCAACCACCTTCAGGAGGTTTTGCTTCTTCTGGATCCACAGGCTTGCACAGTGCTGCAATGGATGACAGCATGGTCATGAGTGAATATGGGAAGGATACTGTTCCTTATGATTTACATCTAATGACTGAGCCATATGGGGTCCCTTGTATGGTTGAGATATTTCATTTCCTGTGCTCATTGCTGAATGTTGTTGAACATAAGGGAATGGGCCCTAGGGCAAACACTATAGGATTTGATGAAGATGTCCCTCTATTTGCTCTAGGTTTGATCAACTCAGCAATTGAACTAGGTGGTATGGCTATTCGGAATCATCCTAGATTATTGAGTTTGGTACAGGATGAACTATTCCGTAATCTCATGCAATTTGGCCTGTCAATGAGTCCGTTGATTCTTTCAATGGTCTGTAGCATTGTTCTAAATCTCTATCAGCATTTGCGTACTGAACTGAAACTGCAGCTTGAGGCTTTCTTTTCTTGTGTGGTATTGAGGCTTGCACAAAGTCGTTATGGGGCTTCATACCAGCAGCAGGAGGTTGCAATGGAGGCTCTTGTTGACTTTTGTAGACAGAAAACATTTATGGTAGAGATGTATGCAAATTTGGATTGTGATATAACTTGCGGAAATGTTTTTGAAGAACTTGCTAATCTATTGTCAAAAAGTGCTTTTCCTGTGAATTCTCCTTTGTCTGCCATGCACATTCTTGCTTTAGATGGATTGATTGCTGTAATTCAGGGAATGGCTGAGAGGATAAGCAATGGATCATATAATTCAGAACCACATCTAATACATCTTGATGAGTATACTCCGTTCTGGATGGTAAAATGTGAGAACTATAGTGATCCTGATCATTGGGTACCATTTGTACGGAGGAGGAAGTATATCAAAAGGAGATTAATGATTGGAGCTGATCACTTTAATCGAGATCCAAAGAAAGGGTTAGAATTTCTCCAAGGAACATACCTGTTGCCTGAAAAACTTGATCCACAAAGTGTGGCTTGCTTTTTTAGGTTTACTGCAGGGCTAGACAAGAACCTTGTTGGAGATTTTCTTGGAAACCACGATGAGTTTTGTGTTCAGGTTCTTCAGGAGTTTGCTGGAACATTTGATTTTCAAGACATGAACTTAGATACTGCTTTACGTTTGTTTTTGGAGACTTTCCGATTGCCTGGAGAATCCCAAAAGATACAGAGAGTGCTTGAGGCTTTTTCAGAAAGATACTATGAGCAATCACCACAGATTTTAGCTAATAAAGATGCTGCTCTATTATTGTCCTATTCCCTGATAATGCTTAACACTGACCAGCATAATGTACAGGTGAAGAAGAAGATGACAGAAGAGGATTTCATTCGAAATAATAGACACATAAATGGAGGCAATGACCTCCCTCGTGAGTTTCTGACGGAACTCTATCATTCAATCTGCAGCAATGAGATCCGCACAACACCAGAACAAAGTGCTGGTTTTGCGGAAATGACACCCAGCCGTTGGATTGATTTGATGAGTAAATCTAAGAAAACTTCTCCATATATAGTGTGTGATTCCAGAGCATACCTAGACCATGATATGTTTGCCATAATGTCTGGTCCAACTATTGCTGCCATCTCAGTGGTGTTTGATCATGCTGAACATGAAGATGTTTACCAGACATGTATTGATGGATTCTTAGCTGTTGCAAAGATATCTGCTTGCCATCATCTTGAAGATGTTTTGGATGATTTGGTGGTGTCACTCTGTAAGTTCACAACCCTTTTGAATCCTTCAGCTGTTGAAGAGCCTGTTTTAGCTTTTGGTGATGATGCAAAAGCAAGGATGGCAACTGTTACAGTTTTCACTATTGCAAACAAATATGGTGACTTTATCCGCACTGGCTGGAGAAACATTTTGGATTGCATCTTGAGATTGCACAAGCTTGGCCTTCTACCTGCTCGTGTGGCAAGTGATGCAGCTGATGACTCTGAGATATCTTCTGAACCTGGACATGGGAAGCCTCTCACAAGTTCATTATCTTCTGCGCATATACAGTCTATAGGCACACCTAAAAGATCTTCTGGGCTAATGGGTCGATTTAGTCAACTCCTATCTTTAGATACAGAAGAGCCAAGGTCCCAACCTACTGAGCAACAACTTGCAGCTCATCAACGCACACTTCAGACAATTCAAAAGTGTCACATAGACAGTATCTTTACTGAAAGCAAATTTCTGTTAGCTGATTCTTTATTACAGCTTGCACGGGCACTTATATGGGCTGCAGGGAGACCTCAAAAGGGCAGTAGTTCTCCTGAAGATGAAGACACTGCAGTATTCTGCTTGGAATTGCTGATTGCAATTACCTTGAACAATCGGGATAGAATTGGTCTTCTTTGGCAAGGAGTTTATGATCATATTGCTAATATTGTTCATTCAACTGTAATGCCTTGTGCTCTAGTTGAAAAGGCTGTTTTTGGGCTCCTCCGTATCTGCCAGAGGTTGCTCCCCTACAAAGAGAACTTGGCTGATGAACTTTTGAGATCACTTCAACTGGTTCTCAAGCTTGATGCCCGTGTTGCTGATGCATATTGTGAACAAATTACTCAAGAAGTCAGTCGCTTGGTTAAAGCGAATGCCACTCACATTCGTTCTCAGACTGGTTGGCGCACAATAGCATCTTTACTTTCTATCACAGCTAGACATCTAGAAGCATCTGAAGTGGGATTTAATGCACTACTATTCATCATGTCTGATGGAGCACATTTGTCACCAGCTAATTATGTCCTTTGCATTGATGCAGCAAGACAATTTGCAGAATCTCGTGTTGGACAGGCTGATCGATCTGTTAGTGCTGTGGATCTTATGGCAAGTTCCGTTTCTTGTTTGACATCATGGTCGAAAGATACTAGAGAAGCTATGGCAGAGACAGAAGCTCTAAAATTGTCTCAAGATATCGGGGAGATGTGGCTGAGGCTTGTACAGGGGCTGAGAAAAGTTTGTCTGGACCAAAGGGAAGAAGTAAGAAATCATGCTCTTCTGTCACTTCAGAAGTGCTTGACGGGAGTTGATGATATGTACCTCCCACACGGTTTGTGGTTGCAATGCTTCGATATGGTTGTCTTCACAGTTTTGGATGACTTGATCGAAATTTCACAGGGACACTCCCAGAAAGACTATAGAAACATGGAAGGTACACTCGTCATCGCACTGAAGCTCCTGAATAAGGTGTTTCTACAGTTACTCCCCAAGCTCTCTCAATTAACCACCTTCTGCAAACTGTGGCGGGGTGTCCTCAACCGGATGGAAAAATACATGAAGGTGAAAGTCAGAAACAAGAAAAGCGACAAGCTTCAAGAACTAGTTCCCGAGCTCCTGAAGAACACTTTACTCGTAATGAAGACAAGTGGAGTACTTCTTCAGAGGAGTGCTCTCGGGGGAGATAGCCTGTGGGATTTGACGTGGTTGCACGTGAACAACATTCTTCCATCTCTGCAGTCCGAAGTTTTCCCCGATCAAGATCCAGAGCAAGCACAGCATATCCAAGGTGAACCACCTCGAAGTCCTGTCTCTACCGAAACCGATCCTAGTGTAAACGAATAGCATTATTTGATGATAAACTGGCTTTATCTCGTTAATATTCTTTTACCTTGATTGGGCTTGTGACACAGTTTCTGGACCATTTTGGTCCTGGAAGAAGAGTGTAGAGATGAATGCTTTTGCATGATGATTTCTTTTGAGAGGATTTTCAATCCTGCTGCAATAGGCATATATCGTATCAGACTGCCATATTGTACATAACTATGTAACCTTTGGTTCTGTAGTTCTTACCACTTCTAGTGTGTCATTAATATCTTTCTTCTTCTTCTTCTTCTTCTTCTTCTTCTTCTTTCTTTCTTTTTTTTTTTTTTTTTTTTTTTTTTTTTTTTTTTTTTGTTGTTGTTGTTGTTGTTGTTGTTGTTTAATTTTATAAAAATAAAATAAAATTCAGAGGCGGATTTTACAAAAAAATGTTTGTTTTTATAATTTTGTTTCTTTAAATATGTATAAATAATTAAATATTATATGTTTACTAGTTTATTGCTGCCACGAATGGTAGAAACTATCGCGTGCAAAGAGGCACTCACATAGCTTAAATGGCGGGAGGTGCATTCTGTTTGACTTCAATCAGATTGCAAAGATCTTTGTCTCAATTTGACATCTTCCACAGCCGAGTTGAGATTGTACATTGGCATTCTTACGTTGGATTGTAGGAACTTTATGGCTTCTTTTCTTTTTTACTCTATTAGTTTTATTCCCCGTTCGTCTAATAGTTTAGCTCATTCTTTAGCATTCTGCTTACTCTCAAGTTAGCTCTCTGTACTGAGATTCTAATTCTCTTGATTTTGTCTCAGCTCTTATTCACTAATATATCTTTGAGTTTATTTTAAAAAAATAAAGCAAACAATTTTAGAACCTTTTTTGAAGTTTTTTGGAAGAAATGTTTTTGAAACATGTTAATGCTCATTTTAAAAGAGTTTTCGTGCTACATTGTATTGGTAATATATTAATATTTGACTAAATTTTGAGTGAGGTGGAAAACACAGAATGATTATCTAATGATGTACTCTAGATAAATTTCGCTTTATGATCACGAGATAAATTCTATTCGACAAGGAGATAAATAAATTTATGGTGTGTTTGGTTGGTGGGTTTTGCCCATAGGAATGAGTATGAAAGTGATTGTTATTGTTTGGTTGATAGGTTTTTAGAACACTACTATGGGTTTCGAATACCCCATTAATTGAAAAATTCATACCCAAATAAAATAAGGGTTTCATTCCCTTATTCATTCTTAAGCACTACTATTAGTAACCATTCCCATTCCACCCTACTACCAAACATGTTAAATACTTTCACCAAAACCCATTACCATTACCAAGTATTTGATACCCATTCCGATTCTGATTCTTATGTACGAACCAAACACACCCTTAGATTGTTCATGGTTAACTAGTTTAAACTAAAAAGGTCAATAAGTCGCTCATGCGTGTTTGACTAAATTTTTTATATAATTTATTAATAAATTTTCTTTTGATAATATTAGGTATGCCTTTATATGATACATTTGATTATTATCTAATACAATAAAAAATAATACTCCGTATATATTATTCACGCTACTATTGATTATTGAACACGAGTGCCAAACAACACATCCCAATATATTAGTATAGGACTAAAATTTGTGTATGGATTTTCAAAAAAAAAAAAAAAATTGTGTATGGATAATATACTTTAGAGTCTTTTCTATTATTTGTACTAAATTTTGTAATTTTCATAATTATCAACTTACGGTATACGAATCGCACTAAAAATTTTATGTACAAAAAAAAAAAACAAAAAACAAAAAAAACCAAAATAAAAAACGCTTGGGTGGCTGCCGGCCACTCCCTTTCCCGCCCTCCTCCTCCTTCGTCTCCGGTTAGAGACGGATACATATCTTTTTTATTTTTAATTTTAAAGTTTATTATTAAAATTTATTTAAAATGTCAATTCACCTCCCAAGTAAGTATGTAACCTGATGAAATAGATTATCATGTAAAATTTTATACATTTAGAATGTTTAGTGACTTAATTGTACAATTTTTTTCAGTGTGCTAATTGCATTTTCAGTCCGTGTGCAATTTGAAACTTATTTCTTTCTTATTTTCCTCTAATGTTCAAGGGTGACAAGCATTTTTCTTTTGCGGCAACTGAGTCAAGCCACAGTCAACTCGTTCTTCTCTGAGTTTTCTCGGGTCTGTTCACAATTCCTACCATTTCAGGTACTGATAAGTCTACATTTATTACAGAGCGGTTTATGAATCTGTAGGCCTTTTTTGTTGGATCAATTGTTCTTCGCTTGTAGTTTCTTAAGCCTGTCGGTGATCTAGGTTTTACCGAATTGCAGTCGTTACTACTTTGAATTCATGAATTTGATCGAAAGATCTAATTTCAAGCTTCTCAGGTGGAATTGAATTAAGCAAGAGATGAGTGAGGTGTTTGAAGGATACGAGAGACAGTACTGTGAGCTGTCCGTTAATTTGTCTAAGAAATGCAGCTCTGCTGCTCTTCTCCCCATCGGAGGTATCAATTCAACTTGGGATCTGCGTTTACTTTCTGCAAATTTAGTGTGTTCCTTTTGTGGATTTACATTCTAAATCCCTGCGATAGGATTTTGTATCATGTTTAAGCTGTTTAATGTATTTCTTTTCAAGTAATAAGCTTTCAGTTTAGTTATATTAGGCAGCTTTCACATACTATGTGATTTTTTTAAAATCTGGTTGCCATCTAGTAAGATTTGTTGTTTCTTTGCAACTGGTTTTTAATTTTTGAGTGAAGAGGGAAACTCGCAATCAGTACTCAAGGGTGTGCATTGAGTAAACTGTGATCCTAGCTAGGCCTGCAAGGAAATAAAGCAGCCTAGGTTGCCTATAATTGATTAGCTCAAACTAAGAAAGTCAATAGGCCGCTCCTGCTGGGAGCTTTGCCACTGGTTTGCCTTAGGGTGTGTTGTAAATCATGTGTAAAGATTTATGACTTCTTTTCTGTGACTCTTATTTGGTGGGGATTATGATTTATGAAACTCACTTTTGCCATTGTTTGTTACAATAAGAGCCTAGGAAGCAGCAGGTTACCGAGCTCACGGTGGGATTGGATGAAGCGGATGTGCTGGTAACCGCTCCCCTTTTTTGGTTCTTATTGGTATGTAAAGTTTCTTCTTGGTCTAAATCGTGGTATGATTTGATGTGCATTTCCTCAGATTCGGAAAATGGACCTTGAGGCGAGGAGTTTGCAACCGAGTTTAAAAGCTGTGCTTCTTGCCAAGCTAAGGGAGTATAAATCGGACCTTAATATGTTGAAAAGGGAAGTGAAAAAACTAACGTCTAGTAGCTCTAATCAAGCTGCTCATGATGCATTACTGGAGGGTGAAATGGCAGATGCACATGCGGTATGTGCAAATGTTAATCTTTGTTTTGGTTTCCTTCTCCAGTCGTACAAATGTATATTTGATGCAGGTGACAGATCGATGTGCAGATGATTTTTAATTCAAGCATTGTGTAACGTTTAGAAACTTTCATTAAAACACTTGAAACAGGCATATTATACCATTATGAGATCACGAGATTCATCAGTCCATTAGATATGGAGCTTTGTGTTTACTTGTTTATAGAAATAATGCCAAAACATCAAATTATTTGTTTGCTCTCTACGATTTCCTTTTAACAGATGATGATTATCTTTTCAGGCTTCAAATCAAAGGGGGCGATTGGCAATGTCAACCGAGAGGCTGAATGATTCCAGCGAGAGAATCAAGGAGAGCCGGAGGGTTGCTTTAGAGACAGAGGACCTTGGCATCTCAATTCTTGAAGACCTCCACCAGCAGCGCCAAACGCTATTACATTCCCATAACAAGGCACGCCACACAATTTAATACACAACACTTTTGTCTTCTCAAGTTGATTTTGCCTCTGTTTGCGTCTTCTGAAACTCAATTTCTTCCTTAAATCTCTCCAAGGAACTGCAACTCATGAAAAGATTGCGTTGTTTTGCAGCTTCATGGTGTGGATGACGCCATTGACAAGAGCAAGAAGGTCTTGACCTCCATGTCCAGACGCATCAGCCGTAACAAGATGATTGTCGGTGGCATAATTGCTGCTCTTGTCCTAGCTATCATCATTGTCCTGTATTTTAAGCTTTCCCATTAATGAACTCCATGATCTTCACTGCTATATTTGGTTGTACATATTTTCATCGTTTACAAACACTTCGGGCTTTTTGCTCTGATATTGTACTTGTATCTGCTTGCTGAATGAATGCTGGTGTGTATTCTGAGTTGACTGTTGTATTTGCTTCATAAAAATTGCAATAAAATGCTATTGTTTCTGCTGAGAAATGAAAATATCTTTCACTGTTTTGAATTTCTTCCCGGAAATTAGGAAAAATGATGAAATTTTTGAGGCACCAGATTTGACCAGTGACATGTCGGTTTCTGGGCTTCTGGCTTCTTCAGATTCAACTTGGCCCCACCTGGAATCAGAGAAAAAAAATATCTACAGAGATGGAGTGAATAGCAAGATTTCTTTGAACTTCCTTCTTCGACCTTCCAACCCTCTCCGTTCTTCAATTCCAATCCGTTTTCTGTTACGTATCGAATTCCCTCTACTTTCGTTCCATATATTGGATCTGAGTGTGGAGTGTTGAGGAAAGCAATCGTTGTTCTGAGATTTGGATTTCGGATCATGGATTCTCTCTCGTCGGTATCGCCGTCGTTCGTTCTCCCTCCCGGAAAGCCTCTCCGGCACCATCATCACCGGCGGCGAATATCTGTGTCCTCCAAGGTTAAGCTCGCTCGTCAGTTACGCCTATCCTTCTCCTCCGGTATTCCGCGCAGCTCGTTCGGGCGTACCAGTGATGGCATCGATCGGAGGAGAACACTGGCGGAAGCTTATTGTAAATTAGGCGGCGGAGAAGGCGGAGACGACCTAGAAGAAGAAGGTCGGCGGCGAGACGACCTAGAAGAAGAAGGTCGGCGGCGAGATGAGGAGGTGGAGAGTGCGCTTCGAATGGACGGTACTATTCCGGGGACTCCGAGCGAGTTTGTAAAGCAAGTGTCGTCACGCGCCTACGACATGCGGAGGCATCTTCAACAGGGTTTTGATAGCAGCAGCTATGATGGTATATTCTGCACTTTCCTTTCGTTCTTCTTCTAATTTCATCTTCATAAACTCATTTATTCTGCTCAAATTCCCCAGCTTTGCAGTAGACTTGTGCCTCCATTGCAACAGGGTTTCTGGTTTCTGGTTTCTGGTTTCTTATAGATGTTATGTCTGTATACCTCGATCTCGTTTTTTTTTTTTTTTGAATAATATGGCAATCAACGAAAGCTGGGACTCACTGTTTTGGTGTCTTCTTTGTTATCTGATTCTAGTGCTGGAGGCTAATCCTTGGAGGGAAACGTCGAAGCCTGTGTATGTACTAACTCATAGGGAAAACCAGTTGTGTACGATGAAAACTCGGAGGAACCAGAGGTGAGTGCATCAAAGAATTCAAAATCTTTGAAGAAATTTGGAGCAGTTTTTTCTTCGACTGCCATGTCTTGAAGAGTTCTTGGTATTACAGTGAAGTTGAAAGGGAGCTTGGGTTATTGTTTTCCAAAGGTGGGAAGTGGAGAAATCAAGCTAAGCAGACAGGAACTGGCACAAAATTTCAGATGGTTGTTGAAGATGTCAGAGAAGGTGTTCTGGTAATTCTCATGTTCTTCTTTCCTAGCTTTAATTTGCTTTACATCATTCATACTCTGCTAATTTAGGGATATTGAACAATGAACCTCTGAAGATGTGTCCAATTAATCATGAAAACATACCCATTAAATCAAATGACAAATGGGTTTTAGGTTTGACTCATTTTGCCGGTCTTTTTTTCATATTTGATCCCATGACTTTTAAATTCTTCCCACATTTGGTCCGTCCAACCTAATTTATGATCTGGTGACAAAAAACTTCAAGCGACTTATCTTGAAGGGTAAAATTGTCATTTTCAATCCCCTCTCCGAGAAGTTAACAAAAAAGTAATAAAAATGAAAATTTTACCCTTTTGAAATAAGTCATGGATGACCAAGAATTAGGTTAGAGGGACCAAATGTGGCAATGATTTAAAAATCGTAGGATCAAATGTGTAAAATAATATCAGATACCAAATGTGAAAATCGTCTTATAGTTGTGCGACCAAAAGTGAAAAAACTCATTCTGTTTCAACCAAAAGTTTAAGCTGATAGGGAGAGAACGCATTATATTATATGTTCAAGACTCACCAATTAGACTTGAACTCGCGTCCTCATTTCAATAAAAGAACAACTGAAGAAGAATATGTAAGCCAGAGCATAAGCGAAGAAAGTTGAGCTGAAATGCTTAGTTTGGATTTGGCAATGAACTGATATTATATAAACTGCAAAGGTGTTTGAAGATGGTGATGAAGCTGTAAAATACTGCGACTTACTCCAAGGAGGAGGTCAAAATTGCGAAGGCGTTGCAGAGATTGAAGCATCCTCGGTAAGAAACAGGGAGACTCTAAAGTTTGAAACAAGGATGAGTTAGTTCAATCCATAACTGTAATCAATCTGCAGGTATTTGATCTGTGCCGGAAGATGAGGGCGTTGGCGGTTCTGTTTCGCAGGGGAAGAACGCCTCCCCGGCCTGAAAATCTCAAACTCAACTTGAGAGCCCGTAAACACTCCCTGGAAGATCAATAGGAACACGAGTCGAGGCTCCATCAGCAGAGAATATGTCCTTCTGTCTGCACCAAAAACCAATTTGCAATACTCTCATTAACTGTAATGTGTTTGTGACCATTGATATTTGATCATTGCCATATCCTCCTATACGGTAAATCCTGATAGAATACAAGTGTTTCAGTTCAGAATTATTGAACCATGGGAAAATTTAGTGAAAAGTTCTTCCAAAATATATTGGAGCATACATAAGATAGGCCACCATATGACTTCAACAATTCAATCATTGCATCTTTGTTATCTCCTTCAATTCAGCAACCCTCAAAGGGTTTCACCGATGCGGATTAGTTTTATCTTACAGAATAAGAATATTAATGCACATTGTATAAAAAAAAAAAAAAAGTTGACTAATTTAATTGAGAAGTTCAAATTTTTTTTTAGTAAAACACAAATTCAATCAATGTTAATCATATATGTATAGAGGTGAGTTTAAATGAGAACAATTCAATCAATGCGTCACTTTCTAGATTAACATGTATCAATTAACTATTAAGGTGCGTATATTTCCAGCTTTAAGGTGCACAAGTTTGAGACACTTGATCATTTGCATCAACGTTGCTTGGAAGTGCGTTTTATTTAATCTTCCTTCAGTTTGAGCTGTTAATCTAGATTAGATCAATGGCTTAGATCTTACCCCATTTTTCACCTATGCCAAGGAGTCTCCATGTAAAAAAACAAGGTTAAATCTCATCCATTGTGGTAGGGAATTCCCCGACTGCCATAATGTTACCCCGACTCCAGTGCTTTCGTCCTTTTCTTCTTGTCTTTGCAGGTTACAGGTCGGGTTACTTGTGAAGAACCCGGTCGGTTCCCGACCGGGTAATGCCCGATTGGCGTTGCCGACCACCGAGAGGTAGCTCTTTAGCGAGAGAGCTGGTGAGAAACACGTGGCGACTCTACGCGTTGACAGGCAGGGCACCCGGGAAGGCGACACGTGGTTGCTACGTGGGAGGCATGCCGGACGGCCGGATTTGTATCTCCGGCTCCGCGGCTATAAATACCCGCGATAGCGACAGTGTGAGGGACTTTTGGACGATCGATAGGTTGTTGTTAGAGAATTCCGACCGCAGTCAGTCGGTACTCAGAGCAACCATTTAGATTGTACTTAGGGCCTTCACTGTGATCAATAAGAGTTATTTAATTGCTTTAATTGGTCTTGTGTCTATTTAATTACCGCATTACGTGACAATTAGCACTATCATTTTGGCGCTGTCTGTGGGGACCCGTGCAAGCAAGCAACGTTTGACGAGCACCCGGTCTCTTAGCAATTATGTATCCGTGGGCACAAAACCTCTTCGCCGACGACCAAGCGGATGCGGCTAGTTCATCCGACCACCAGCCAAGCCAGCAGCAAGGTCAGGCCATGGACCTCAACCTCAATCTCTCACCACCTCATCCTTCAAATACATACCCGGTTGCCCAACAGCCGGTGAACTACATTCAACCGGGATATCCGACACCCGGTTAGCAATACCAGCAGCCGCAACTGCAGTATCCCGGCCAGTACGCATACCCCGCTCCACCTCAACCGTACGGGTACTGGCCCGGTCAACCGATGTATTATACACCACCGGTTACCCACCATACACGCCTGCGTACACGGCTCCAGCCGCCGCCCCTCCAGTTTACCCGACCGCACAAGTAGAGCTGCAGCATCAGCCCACTTCCCGGGCTCGACGCTCGGCTCGTTCGCGGTTGGGGTCGGGGGGTGCTGATGCGATGGAGGCACCACGGCAGACCCAACAAGCACCAGAGGTTCCAGCCCAAGTGGAAGACCCTGAGGAAGTCAATCGGGCAGTGGCTTTTGATCGTCTCCGACCGGCGTTGTGGCAACGCTTGGGGCCCCAAGACCCGAGCCAGGAACCGGGAGACGTGCAGATGCAAGAATCCAGCCAGGAGGCCTCATCCGGACATAGCGGGTCGAGATCTCAACGTCGACGACGCGCTCGGGAGTCAGCCCAAGCCGCCCAGACGGCCGAGCTCAACGAGACCCGAGGATTGCTCTACAACCTCCAGGCGGAGTTCGCTCGGTTCCGAAACGAGCACCCCTTGACACCCCCGGTCGACCAGTCATCCTTGTTGAGAACGCCCTTCACAGCAGAGGTAATGGCCCAGCCATACCCGCTTGACTTGAAGGTTTCCGGGGAGAAAAGTTATGATGGCCGTACGGACCCTGAGGTCCATGTCAACAATTTCTACGGCAACATGATGTTGAAGGGCGTATCAGACGCCGTAATGTGCAGGGCTTTTTATTCCACGCTCACTGGTCGGGCGGCGGAATGGTTCCGAACTTTGCAGCCGGGCTCAATTGCTGATTTTAACGCCCTGGCGATCAAGTTCGTGAGGAAGTTCATTACCTCCAAGGTGGTGAGAAAGCCCTATATGTACTTGGAAAAGGCCTAGCAACTCGAAGGGGAGAGCTTGACTGACTTCCTTGTCAAGTAGAAGGCAGCGGTCGGGGAAGTCGAGCCAATGGACGACGCCACCGCCACCCACATGCTCCACATTTCTCTCCGGGCGGGGTACCTTTATCAGGATTTCATCCTTCACCCCCCGGCCACGTACGAAGAGGCCCTCCGAAGGGTCACAGATTATGCCAACGCCGGAGAGGCGAACGTCATGAAACGCTCGCAGGAGGTCGGGTCCTCGTCCCGTAAACCGGCCGGCCGGGCGGAACATCGATCGGGTGACGACCATCCCCGATCCCGCACCAGGCCTGGTGAGTTTACGGCCCTGAACCGATCCGCAGCGGAGGCCATGCAGTACGCCCAGTCCTGCAATCTCATCAAACTCCCCCATCCCGATCAAGACGGCCCAGACAAGAGTAAGCACTGTGCTTACCATCGGTGTGCCGGGCATGACACTGAGGAATGTACCCACTTGCGCCAATTGTTAGAGGATCTGCTTAATCTTGGGAAGTTGGACAAGTGTGTGGTGAAGAGAGAAGAAACAAAGAAAAATACCGATCGGAGAGATCACCGGCGCTCTCATCACCGTTCTGATCGTTCTGATCGTGATGGACGCTCCGATCGGTCGGGTCAGGACCGAAGAGATGATTGTAGAGACGATCGTCGAGATGACCGACGGGACCCTGACCCCCCATCTAGCAGCCGACCAACAGGAAAGCCGACCATCCACGTGATCTTTGGTGGATTGGATGACGCTTCCCGACCGAGGGATAACTGCCCGGTCGCCATAGTGGATTCCCGAGACACCGGGAAGAGGCAAAAAATGGAACCCATAACCTTCACCCTCGAAGATCAACCTAGCGGCGGTGACCATGGCATGGAGGCACTCGTGGTCACCATCGATGTGAAAGGGACGGACGTCCAGAGGGTTATGGTGGACACTGGGAGCAGTGTCAACGTCCTTTATTTGGACGTGTTCGAGAAGCTTGGACTCGACAAAAGAGAGCTGACTCCGGTCGGTGTACCATTGTCGGGATTTACCGGGGCTCTTATTTACCCCGAGGGAAAAATCACGCTCCCAGTAGAGATCGGCACTTCCCCGAAGTCGATCAAGACGGAGTTGGAGTTCGTTGTGGTCAACCTACATTGCGTCCACAACATTATTTTGGGCCGACCCGCGATCATGAAGATTGGTGGGATAATTTCAATGCCTCACCTGTGCATGAAATTCCCCACCCCCAATGGGGTCGGTGTGGTCCGTGGCGATGTCCAATCCGCCCGGAAGTGTTACACCCGAGCGGTCAATAGACGTGACTCCGGTCCGTCTTCCCGGGTGAACACGATTGCCAAGGAGGAGTCCAAAGACCGGAAGGAACAACCCGAGCCTTCCGAGGAAATCGAAGAAGTTCCCCTGTCAGAGGACCGACCGGACAAGAAGATTAAGATTGGACGGGCCCTCACCCCCGAGCTCCGAGCGGAAGTTTTGGCTATACTCCGAGAGTTTGCCGATATCTTTGCATGGGGGCCTGAAGACATGCCCGGGATCGACCGGACGGTGATTTTTCATAAGCTAGCCGTCGATCCTGCAGCAAAGCCGGTCGTGCAGAAGACCCGGCACCTTTCGTCCGATCGCCGCGAGTTTGTCAGAGAAGAGGTCAAGAAAATGGCGGCGATCGAGCACATCCGACCGGTGATTTATCCCGAGTGGGTGGCCAATATTGTTCTTGTTCCTAAGCCCCCAGCTTGGAGGATGTGCATTGACTTCACCGACCTCAATAAGGCCTGTCCGCTCGACCCGTACCCACTACCGAGCATCCACCAGATGGTCGACGAGACGGCCGGGGCCGAGTTGATGAGTTTCATGGATGCATTTAAAGGGTATCATCAAATAATGATGCACCATGAAGATGAGAGCAAAACAGCCTTCGTGACCCCGGACGGGCTGTATTGCTACCGAGTGATGCCGTTCGGCCTCCGCAACGCGGGAGCGACCTATCAGAGAATTGTCAATATGCTCTTCGCCGATCTGCTAGGACGAACGATGGAGGCGTATATTGATGATATGCTGGTCAAGATCCGGGACCGATCCGACCACACTCGGGATCTCCGGGAGTGCTTCCAGATCATGAGGAAGTACCAGTTGAGGCTGAACCCAACCAAGTGCACATTTGCGGTTTAGACCGGGAAGTTCCTCGGCTATATGATGACCAAGAGGGGAATCGAACCCAACCCGGCCAAAGTTAAGGCAATTCTGGACATGCAACCACCTTCAACTGTTCGGGAGGTCCAGCAATTGACCGGTCGGTTGGCAGCTCTCAGCCGGTTCCTCTCCAAATTAGCCGAGCGCGCTTTACCTTTCTTCAAGGTATTGCGTAAAGTTAACGGTTTCGTCTGAGACGACGAGTGCCGAGCGGCTTTCGACGAGCTGAAAGAGTATCTTATGTCACCAATCGTGCTGTTAAAGCCAGAGCTCGGGGAAGAGCTAGACGTGTACCTCGCCGTATCCGATTGAGCAGTAAGCGCAGTATTGTGCCGAACCGATCCGGAAGGGGTCCAGCGACCGGTGTACTATGTAAGCCACGCGCTACATGGTCCCGAGCTCCGGTACTCCTGGTTAGAGAAGGTCGTCTACGCCCTATACATTGCCGCGAAGAAGTTAGCTCCCTACTTCTAGGGTCGAGCAATTCGCATTTTGACCGATCAGCCGATCGGGCCAGTCCTCCGAACTGCTTCATCATCCGGCCGCCTAGTCAAGTGGACGTTAATGCTGACCCAGTATGCAATTGAATACCGACCAAGACCAGCCATCA